GATCATGGATCGGGATCAAATCGATACTCATCACAAATAATTTTTTTATTCATCTACATGCGAATGCATTATTTATTGTTATCCGTGATACAAAGTATATGACGGTAATATACATTTACTTAAATGCTTAAGAATAATCCTTTATAGATTTGAACGTAATCGTGTGAATCAACGAGTTTTTCTTGATAAATACAAAATTATAACATCCTAAATTCATGAGAAAAATTCGTTATTTTATAAGAAAATGCCGATATTATTTCTCTTGTTTTTCATGCAGTATGAAAACAACATTAGAGTGAAGAGACAAGTCTTTTTTGAAGCAATATTTGAATTTATTTTATTATCTGACAAAATTTACATTTTTATATATACAAGATACCAGAGTTTGGTTACAGAATAATAAAAAAATATTTGTCAGAAAAGATATTCAAAATGATACTGGAGATTATGTGATTTTTGACCTGAGTAAAATGTGACTCTAGATCAGTAAAATCTTGAAAATTTTAATAAAAAAAAATAATTAGCCTAAATCAACCTATATTGTCCAGAAATATATTCAACCCCATTTGAATATTGATGTGAAAAAATCGTCTGCTTTTGTTTTATCACTTTCCAAAAATTTCTTTGATACGGGATAGTGATTGAAAATAGCATACATTTCGTTTATAATTTGACGACATTCTGCAGCTGTTTCACATGAACTAAAAAGACGTTCTTGTACTAATCCTGCTTCATTTACAACTTGTTCCCAGCCAGGTTCATTCGGCACTTCCCACTCATGGTTATTTATAATAATTCTTTGCATAGCAGGTCGTGAGAACACCATCCCAATTAGTAATAGTAGATAGAAGTAAAGTGTATACATATTGAATGTAAAGCTAAATAAAATAATATTTCGCTAAGGTGTATAGCAACGGTATTTTTTGTTGTCTGTAATACATCATCAATAAGGTGAAACATTTTTATACAATCGAGAAACCATTCGTCACTAGCCGGGTATATATTTTTTCTTCCTCTTGAGTCATATAATTAAACAACCCTGATGCAATATAATACTTTTCGCCGAGAAGAGAAACATGAAAAGAATAGACGTATCGGTCACATTAATTTATGAATATTCCTATGATTGGTTTTGCCCTGTATAAAAAAAAA